ATCAATGCATGCCTTAACTGTACCAGAGAGGCACCGTCAATGACCCTTAAATAATCATGCCCTGAAGTGCCCAAATGCAGCAGTGCAACAAGAAATCATGCAAATGGTCCACATGACTGACTGTCTAGACAGAATGGGACTAGGAACAATTACAGGAAAGGTCCAGCGGACAGTAAGCTATGGAGTTGTTGAAAGGACCCCTAATAACCTTGTAGTAGATAATTAGTGTTAAAAGACCATCAGACATCTAGCGAATACTTTGTCATTTCCATGAAACCCCTGAGTAAGCAACTGCAGGTACAAAAGGTCATTCTGAAGTAGAAGGTACCTCTAAATAAAGCACTCGATAGATAGTTCACAGAGATAGAGATGAGCTGTACGCACAGATATGTGCATACTGAATGGTATCACAAAGTACCTCAAATCAGGCCCTTCAAAACCAAACATAAGCTTACTAAATAGAACAATGGCTTAAAAATATTTTTCTTATGTATAAGCTGTATACCTATTTTTAAAAAGTTGGTAGTCTTTTAAAAGGAAATAAAAGAGGTGGGAGAGATAAACTAGTGTAAAACCTATGACTGAAGTCAGAAGTAACTAGTTTACTTAATGATTCAGAAATGTACTGTTATGTAACCAAATTCCTGAAGGGCATGGTAATTTAGTAGGAATATATAAAAACTAGTTTTCTACTAGACTGTTTCCAAGATGCCCTACATTCTCTATTGCTCATGACCCTCTAACTTTCTCTGTAGCTTAGTCAGATATTCCTTCATATATATATGATTTTTTATGATCAGAATTGTTTCCTTTATAAAAATTTACCTCAGGTCACTTCCCTCACTTCAAATTTATAAAAATTTACCTCAGGTCACTTCCCTCACTTCAAATTTAATAAAGCATAGTTTATTCATTGGTCCTTACCACATAATGTCTTAATTTAAAACACTATTTTAAAGGTATGACATTGAAAATATTAACTTTCTGGATATGTCTTGGAAATAATAATCAAAAGAAGAGCATAAACTTTCCCAGTGGCAGATACCTAATCCTAGGTCATTTCTCCAAGTGCCATTCATTGTGGTATTCTATGGTGACAAATGAAACCATCAGTTCTGCACCAAGCTCTTGAGGTCTGGGTATGTTGGGGCCTGATGTTTTAATTAGGTAGAAGTTACTCTTCAGGAAAGGAGGACATGGGGTTGAAGCCATGGCTCAGTAGAGTGCCAGCCAATGAGGAAAAGCATCAAGTTTTGTTTTTTGGGAAAACAAAAACAAAATAAAGGAGGACCGATGTTGTATACTGAAGGAGTACAACAATTTTCAGTTGCAAAGAGAAAAGCCACATACTAAAACTACAGTGTTCAGATGTCCCCCCATTAGGTTTTTGCTTTTTGTTTCCAAAACAAAACTTCTTCTCTTTTCTTTCTTTTCTCTTTCTTTTCTTTCCTTTCTTTCTTTCTTTCTCTTTTTCTTTCTTTCTTTCTTTCTCTCTCTCTATTTTTTTGGTACTGGGATCAAACTCAGGACCCTGCACTTGCTAGGCAAGTGCTTTGCCACTGAGCTACATCCCAGCCCTGTTCCTCCATTATGAAGAGATAGTATTTAAGTGTCTTAAGCCAATACTCATGCTTTCTAAGAAATACTAGACTCCTAGGTTAACTCCTTGGAGCCTATGTGCTCAACACTCCTAGAGCACCCTACTGGAATCTGCATAAAAGAGAGAGTCACCTCCTTCTCCCTAAACACACAAATTGGTTTCCATCTGAATGACCTCCAATTTAATGTATTTTTTTAAACCAGGGTTAGTTAGCTACAATAAACTGGATTTGCTTTCAAAAGACAAGACTTGATATCATTGAAAGGCCTTTCTTTATTCAGTTCACCAAACACAGACACACAGATCTGTGCGTACAACTTGATGGACTCCCGCATGAGAAGTGATTCATAAGAGGTCAGCCAATGTTAGTCATTCATTTCTCTTAGCATCTAGGAGAACATGAATAATCTCTTCGGGTTTTCCCTAAAAGTTGTGCTAAAAAAAAAAAAAAAGGAACTCTAAAATAGTTTTAAGTAAGGAGAACAAGGTGAGTATTCCATGAACAAACATCTGTCATCTCTTTGTTGAGTAAAGAAAGTTTAGGAATCTCAGAACCCTTGGAGGGCTCTGGGAGGAATTCTTAAGTCTTTTCTCATTTTTACTGTCTTGGACAGTAACTGCAAGCTGGGTGTTGGTGACTTATGTCTATAATCCTACTTACTCAGGAGGCTGAGATCTGAGGATTGTGGTTCAAATCCATCCCTGGCAGGAAATTCTGAGTCTCTTATCTCCAATTAATCAAAAAAAAAAAAGCTGGAAGTGGAGCTGTGACTCAAGTGGTAGAGCACTGGCCTTGAGCAAAAGAAACTCAGGGACATGGCACAGGCACTGAGTTCAAGCACCAGGACTGGCACACACACACAAAAGTAACAGCAGGTCAGTACCAATTACAAGTTTAAGTAAAATGTAGACCCAAGTGGAAGCTCTGACTGGGCCAAGGTTTAAGCAACTTATTATAATAGAGTATTTATGGATTAGGTCCAGTTTTAAGTTATTTTTATTTAAGTTTATACATCTTAGGCAAACAATATGCTCTAGTGAGGAAAATATCTTTCAGATAGTATTATGTTTTTCGCAATACTGGAAAAGATGATGAGGAAATGGGACTTATTCAAGTTATCCAGGCTGTTCTGCATGATTTTGTTTCCTAATGATCTTACATAGTATCGAATGCCTCTTTCTCCAAAACTCCAGTCATAACCAGCCAGGTAACAACTAAAAATGTGACATGACCATGCAGAGCATCTTTCCTTTTGTGTGCATTCCTAGTCTCAGTAGCAAACACAAGGTATTTTCCAGAGCACCCACTCAAGTTTGTCTGTGGTGACCGGGAGTACCAGCAGTTGCCAGAATGACCATCCTTCACAACACAAGCCACTTCTGGTAGCACCTCCTATTAATCATACGGTGTCTACCCCACCCTCACTAAAGAGACTATGTCAAGGGTACAATACTGTCCCCATATTCATACCAGACAGAGATGATCCATAGGATATTCTCATGGAACTTGGAGGAAGATAATACCATATACCTTAGCAGCTGCCAAGACCAAATGCTAAAATACAATATAATCATTTTAGCACCATTTTCCCTCTACTCTTAAAATATATAATGTTGCTTTTCTAAGATTAAATACTTTCCAGAAGTTCTTACATGGGTAAAATGCCAATTCCATTTTTAAAAATTTAGTTCAAAAGAACCTTTTTTTTTTTTTGTGACAGGTTACTTATGCCTCTCAGCCTGGAACTGCTCAGTTCAAACATTATTCCTGCCCCTGTCTCCTAAGTAGCTTGGGACTACATATGTGTCCCCACTACTTGTTTCATTAAGCTGAGCTAAATAAATGCCAATTTGTTTAAAGACAAATGACAAGAGACAAAATCAGTACCCCTCCTAACGTGACATTCTCTGCTAAGGAGAGGATTTTCCTGCCCTAAAATTCAGGAAGAGCAGCATCTAGAGCAACGTTACACATCTATGTTCTTCAAAGGATATCATCTTTGGCCATATGAACCTATAGGAACTATCATTTGCTTGAACATCCCTCCCTGCTACCAGAAGTAGCCTCTAGTAGGAAAGGCACTCATGGCTTCTCTACTATGCATATTCTAGGCAGCTTAGCCTGGGAGATGAAAGCATCACACTGTGTAGAAGAAAGCCCACGCACAGTTGTTTGAAGAATAGTTAAGTTGCATCTATAAACTCTGACACCATACCAAAGCATTTAGAAATTAAAAACAGCTGGATTTAGCATGCCTTGCACTCCTGGTCATGGAGACCAGACTGAGGAGACATGGAGACCAGTTGAGAGCCCGGGCCCCTGAATGCTACGCCAAGGCCTACTGGCTGAGTGGTGATGGTGTTTCAATTAAGAATGCAGCTAAGCCAGTCATTGGTGGCTCACGACTGTAATCCTAGCTACTTAGGAGGCTGAGATCTGAGGATTGTGATTCAAAAGCAGCCCAGGCAGGAAAGTCCATTGAAACTCTTATCACCAATTAACTACCAAAAACCTAGAAGTGGCTCCAAGTGGTAGAGCACTAGCTTTGAACACAAAAGCTTAGGGACAAAGCCCAGGCCCCGAGGTTAAGCCCCAAACCCCAGGACCAGCACACACACACACACACACACACACACACACACACACACGCACGCACGCACGCACGCACGCACGCACGCACGCACGCACACACGCACAGTTGAATCAAACTATTCCATTTCTCTCTATTAACTATTTTTACTTAAATGATAGCCTCCTATTTGCAAAATAGGAAGGACAAAGAGGGGAGGGGAGGACAGGGAAAAGAGGAGGATGGGGTGAGGGCATACCACTCATAGCATTGAGTCACAGTCCTTGTCTATGTCACCACAATTGCATGGTCACTCCAATGTCCATCACTAACACAGCTCTTCTCAACAACAGAGCCAAAGAGAAGGGGCCACATGGAAGAAAGTCTAGGAATAGCAAATTTTCACATTGCAATTTGCTTCAACCAAGGGGTTTGTACTTTTTGCAAGTAGTCAATCTAATCTAAGGTGATTTAAACATTATTATGAATTAATAGTCCATCCTGAATTTACTTGCTTTTGGCTTGGGTTTGGGTGGTCTATCAAAACTGAGAATTAAAACAAAGCAATACAAAAACATAATATTAACAAATTCATTTGTCAAATCTGTCCTTATTACTTGCTTTTCAAATCTGTAACAGCTATGATTTGGTTTCCAGTAGGCCTGTTGAACTGAAATATATAGCACCTTGATTTTTAAACACACAAAACGCAAATGTAGTTTTGAAAATTATATGTAAGAGCACTAGATTTTGTCTGCTAGTCTCCTATCCCCCAAGAGAAGGGTTTGGAGAGGGTAAAGCTGCTGTTGGAAATTAACTAGGGCAACACGACATTTTAACAAACTTTATTCCCTGAAGTTAGAAGACGCTGTCCTGCAGCTGTCACACCACCTCATCAGACTCCAGCCCATGAACCTCGTACAAGGTGTCCAGAATGGCCAGCTGCTTTTCCATGGCAGGAAGGTAAAGGCTGAGGTCCCTCTGCATCCCAATACTGAATGCTTCCTTCTGGTGGTCACCTTCTTTAATGGTGAGTGCAGCCACAAAATCTTCGTAGGATGGAGCTGCCCTCAGAGCTAACTGCAAAAGAATCACCCATGAGTACCTGCATAATAACTGTCTCTTTTACACTTATTCCAATGCCCTTTACATAAATGAGTGTGTACAATTATATAAAGGGAGATGGAGGGGGAAAAGGGGGGGGAGAGAGAGAGAGAACTGAGAAGAAATATGAATCTTTGTAATTCTTAGACTCTCTAAAATTATGTTCCAAGCATCAAATCATTACAAGTCTAAAAGCAAGCATGTACTTGGGTCAAATTAATGATGAATAATGCCAGTTTATGAAAAGTTTTCTTCTCATCCAAAATTTGATCCAGACTCCTTGAATGCTCAGTATAAACCTGTACATATATTGCCATCTGTTTGTGATTCCTATTATCTACCATCCAGGGCACTATCTTTTTCCCTCTGCATGGATAATGGTTCCTTTATATCCCAGAATATTATTTAAAAAGAAAGGGAGCTGATATTTTCTGTTTGCTTATATAGTGATTCTTGAACAAATTTTATTCCAACTGGTCTCCTGAAATTTCCTTATATTTAGAAAGTCTTTGAGAATCTCTCTTCCCCATAACTGCAAACAGAGAATGACTGGTCCAGCTGGGGCTGGCTTAAGTGGTAGAGCACTTTCCCAACAAGTCACAAACCACTGAGTTGACACCTCAGTAATACCAGAGGTGGGGGGGGGCAGACAGAAAAACTGGTGGTACAATAATGTTATGGTTAAGCACAAGCTTGGATGAAAAAGATCTTTCAAGCTATTAGTCTGAAAAAAAATCTCCTTTTCTTTATCTGTAGAAGCAGGCTGACATAACTTTCCCAATTTGAAGAATTAATGAAATATGTAGAAAATGGTTAGGCCATGACCTGGCACATAATAAATACTTAGACAATAGTGGGAGAGAACAGAAAAATAAAGAGAAGGCAGATATCCAACAAGATGATATGAGCAAATCTCCCAGAACTGGAGGACAAGAACATTTGAAAATGGTCATGATAGAGGCTAAAGGTAAAACTGAGTGGCAGATTCTTGTCTCGCACATTCAAGGCCCTGGGATCAATCCTTAACACCATAAAAATAAGAACCACCAAAGTCATGATAGACTTAATTGTGAAGAAAGAATTCATAGTTATACAAGGTAGCTGTTGAAGAAAATTAGATGAATGTACAGGTAAGAACATAAAATAGAAACAATTACACCCATATATTATATAGATATAGATATATAAATATAAACATAAGTGGAAATACATATTTATTGAAGTGACTAAATAAATATATAAAACAGATATTTGATCTATTCATTACAAATAATAAATTATATAGATCAATATTATAAAGAATTTAAGGCTAAAAAAGAAAAGCTAAAAAAGAACATAAAATGGAAAATTTAATGTTTTAATTTTTCCCTTTGTATTTTTCCACCTTTTAATCGTTCCATTAAAAAATTTTTTGCAATGAATTCATATTAGAGAAAAACATTTTAAGTTGAAACATCCTTTAGAAACAGATGAATTGGCTCATCCTTATAATTGTCCCTACTTGGGATGGGATCATCCCTACTTGGGAGGGAGAGTTTACAGTTAGGGTTACCATTGAGGCTAGCCAGAGTAACAAAGTTCATGAGACTCCATCACAATGGAAGAAACTGCATGCAGTAGTGTGCACTAGTCATCTCAGCTATGGTGGGAAGTATAAAATGGGACTGGGGACCAAGCTGTGAAAATGTGAGACCCAATCTCAAATTAACTAGTACAAATAGGACTAGAATTGTGGCATTGTAGTAGAGTGTCTGCTTAACAAGCATAAAACCCCGAATTTAAACCCCAGTACTACCCTAGGAGATAGGGGGGAGCCTTTTTACAGATTATACAACAGTAAATTTTGTACTATAGTTGTTTTCTTATTGGATAACAGATATTTCAGGGTTATACTTGCCTTTATACTGAAAAAGAAAATGTCTTTAACAGAGCAACTCCATGCTTTTTCATTTAGCCATTAAGGGGTGACATTTGATCAGATGTTAGTAACATCTAAACAATCAGGATTTTCTTGGGGAGATCAATGAGCATTGCCCACACCCTTTACCTAAGAACTTAGTAATTCTGATGGGCTTTATCATAGCTCACTTTGGGAATAAATCATTTGAAGAGGTGGTGGGTAGAGCCAAAATACACAAATAAAAGCAACTTCTCAATGAAAATATTCCCATCCCTAACTACTGGCATACCTAATACAGTTAACTCAGATAAAATTCAAGTGAACAAAGATGTGCAAAGTAACATAATTGAATAAAATGGGCAGCAGAGGGAGCTATTAGCTTCAATCCCATCACTTAAAAGCATCATTCTCTCTTAGGGTTAAGTATTTAGGATCACTGCTTCCTGCTTTCCTTTGTGCATTGATAACTTTTTTTAAACTATTCTATCAGAAAGGATCCACTTCAGAGTCAAGGTCATTCAAATTGGGTAGATGAATGCATATTCTTTCATTCATCTTCCTTAAAAGTAGTCTTTGCTGAGGCTAGGAAATGTGATCTAGTGGCAAAGTGCTTGCCTAGCATGCATGAAGCCCTGGGTTCGATTCCTCAGTACCACATAAACAGAAAAAGCCAGAAATGGAACTGTGGCTCACGTGGTAGAGTGGTAGCCTTGAGCAAATGAGGCTCAGGGACAGTGCCCGGGCCCTGAGTTCAAGCCCCAGGACTGGCAAAAAAAAAAAAGTCTGCTAATTGTAGACAACTATTGCTGATACTCCAAAGACCTATAAGTATAAAATAAGCATTTTCTTCCTACCCTCAAGGAAACAGAAAAATAAGAGATGCAAAACATAACAACTTGTTTCTGACCATCTAAACATTAGGTAGAGAGATGACTTACCGCAAAAACCCCTCGAACTACCCAGCCATGGTGTTGCCGCAAGGTTTTACCATATGCATTATCTTGAAAAGAAAAAAGATTCCATGAGTAACGATTGATCTGAAAATGATGCACATTTGAAGTACATACTTTTTAATGTATATGGTAGCACAGTCCTATTAATAATTAAAAACTGCTAAAAAGAATGTAAGTGTAACATGTATGTCCTTACAGTCTTACAAAGATGAAAGCTCACAAGAAGATGCTTCTAATGCTTATCTTAAATCACTTATGGAACAACAACTTATTTATAGTGAGGAAAGTTCAGACACCTGAAGAAACAAAGAAGGAATGGACATTGAAAAATTGTAGCTAAATATACTAGAAATATAGTATTTTAAAAAAATGAAGTTTTTTGAAATATGGTATGACCCTGATCCTGACCCAGGTCTCTTTAACTATTTGCCCCTTTGTAAAATGACCTCTAAAATTCTAATTCTAACATTCTATTCTAGGATGCCTAATGTTTGCCTTAAATGGCCACTGACTCTTTGTATCTAAGCTAGAAACCTTCAAAAATGTTATGAAAAGTTAGGAATGGTGGTACATGTCTATACTCCCAGCTTAGCAGCCTGAGGCTAGAGGATCACTTGTCCCTAAGAGTTCAGGACCAGCCAGGACAACACAATGAGACCACCCTTCCCAGACTCTTTCTCAAAACACTCACACCCACCACACCCAGCCCCCTTCTCAACAAAGAAAACCAAACTAAAACAAAACTATCCCAAGTAGACCAACAAAAAAATTATAGAAAAAGGGAAGCCACAAAAAAGTAATGACTTGTTCTAATATCATAAAGCAAAACAAGTGAGAACTTACGCTATTTGTGTCACATTAAACCATCTGCCAAAAGAAAAAGGTTATTATATGTGAAAGAAAATAATGAAAATGAAAAATTATCCCTAGAAACCCCTTCTGGGCATGAAAACAACAGATCTGATTTCTTTTTCTTTTCTTCTTCTTCTTTTTTTTGGTAGGCCATGGGCTTGAATTGTGGGCCTGGGAGTTGTCACTCAGCTCTTCAGCTCAAGGCTAATGCTCTACCACTTGAGCATTCCAGTTTTCTGGTGGTTTATTAGAGATAAGAATATCACAGACTTTCCTGCTTGGGCTGGCTTTGAACCAAAATCCTCACATCTCAGCCTCCTGAGTAGCTAGGATTACAGGCATGAGTCACTGGTGCCTGGCTCAGATCTGATTTTTTTTTTTACCAGTAATTCAGAAACTGACTATGAAAAATTTAGTAAGATAAGTGTTCTGTTGCTCTTGGTGGATACAATGAATGATCTAATAAATACTGCCAGGACAACTGGATTCTTTATTTGGAATAATAAAAGTAAATGCCATTCCCCAAACTAATTCCACCAAGATTAAAGACATATACATGGAAAAAGCAAGCATACAAACTTTGAGAATAAAGCATCGAGAATGTCTTTGGGTATCAAAACACATCATAAATGAAAAGAAAAGGCAAGTCATATACTAAAAGAAATATTTACAAGTCATTACTGAAAAAGATTAATATCAAGAAATTATAAAGGACTTCCATGATACAATAAAGAAAAGCAAACCTAAGCAAAAGATGGTCAAAGTATCTAAATTCACTGGGGAGAAAATTCTCCTCAGTAAAGATAAGAAAGGCTGCTCAATGTAACTAGTAAAATAAGAATACAAACTGGCAATACTTTATCATTTTACAACTACCAGGCACAAATTTAAAAGTCTGCCAATGACAAGCATTAGCAAGAATGTGAGGTATTCTACTCTGTTGTTGATTACAGGCATGGAAACCAATTTTTCAATATCCAATCATGTGGTTTAGCCATTCTAACAACCATTATACATGACAGCAGCAGCTCACAGAGTATGGGTCTTCAAAACAGCAGCTTTGGCACCCTAGGGACTTGTTAAAATGCAGTCTTGTATTCTACTACAGATCTTTGGAGCAGTATGTACTTTAAAAGAGCCATTCAGGCACTACTAATACAATCCAGAGCTTGGCACCATTGTTCTGGGAAAGTTTCTTATCTAGTAAAGTCCAATGAAATCCATACCACTGAACAGCCTCCTTTCCTCCTGCCTGGTATGCTATTCAGACACTTACATTTTCTATATGACAAAGATCAGTTGCAAAAATAACATGTACATGCTAGGCACCAGTAGCTCATGCCTGAAATCCTACTTAGGAGGCTAAAATCTGAGGATCACGGTTTGAAGCCAGCCAAGCAGGAAATTCCATGAGACACTTATCTTAAACTACTAAGAAAAAGCTAGATGTGGTGCTGTGGCTCAAGTGGTAAAGTGCTAGACTTGAGTACAAAGATGCTCAGGGCCAGTGCCCAGGTCCTGAGTTCAATCCCTGGGACAGGCTAAATAAATAAACAACCATGTACATTAAAGAATTGTTTGTAATAGTAAAAATCTGAATCAACCTAAATGTCTATAGTAACATGCTAAGAATTACAGTCTACTGACAAAATAGAAGTCTAAATATCAGGGGAAATGAATAGGTTAGGACTACAAGCATGCAGAGTGAAAACTGAAAATTTAAAAACAGTGAGTGAAAGAAGAATTTATACAATATGATGTCATGTATATGAACCTAAAAGATACAGTCCAATACTAGATAGTGGTTTGTGGACACAAAAATATAGTAAAATCATAAAAACATGCATTGGATAGTGATAAACATCAAATTCAGGATGATGATTTCTGGAAAACGATTAAGAAGTGATAGATGAGTATTTAACTGTACTAACCTATTTTAAGACATTAAAAAGCTGCTAAGAAAGTATCCTATGAATTTTTTATAGTGACTCAGCTTCAGGCAAAATAAATTCCATGGAGAAACATCATCTCAATAACCAATGGACAGCCACAGAACAAGTGCCTAGAGATGCCCTTTTTAAACTCCAGACATTGTCAAAACTAATAATGCTTATGCCAGTCACCAATGGCTCATGCCTATAATCTTAGCTATTCAGGAGGCTGAGATCTGAGATTTGATCCTTCACCAACCCAGGCAGGAAAGTCTGTGAATCTCTTATCTCCAATTAACCACCAGTGGAGCTGTGGCTCAAGTGATACAACCCCAGCCTTGAGTAGAAAAAGCAAATGGACAGTGCTCAGGTCCTGATTTCAAGCTCCAGTAGTAGTGAAAAGAACAGAAACAGAAAACAAGCAAACAAAAATCCTAATGCTTGTGTGGTAAGTCAGTGTGGGCCCAGGATGTAAGTGGTTTTGGAGAAGGCATGAATTGGCTCATGTTCAATAGTAATTCACAGTAACTGAGTTATGATTTGATGTTTAGTATCTGTTCATAAATTCTGTCTTTCTCTTGCTTATCTCTCCTCCTTTGTGAAACCTTTCACATTAAATACATCATTGAATAACCTTTACAATATTTTCTTATTTTGTGCCAGAGATCTTGGTTGGATTAATTTGTACTTGACATTTACAGGATCTTCTGAGGTTCCAGTTTTATCAGTATGGTATTCTGCTGAATGGACAGTGCAGAGCACATAGCATTTAATACAATGGTGCATGAAATGCCAGAGCAATTTTTCTTCCTTCCATTTACAAGACTGCTTCCTAAAACTTGTTTTGATGTTGGCATCGTTCTGATGCAACATCCTAACAAGGTTTAAGTCTAACTGTCTGTGGGTCCAACTCCTTCCTTAAAAAAACCTTCTAGTGAATATCACCAAGATGCTAAAGGTACAAAGCCATTGTTGGCATGAGACCACCCAAAATGTTTCGCTTGCTCATCATTTTGAGGAATCCAAGTGATTGCTCAAGAATGAAGGAGGGTAATGTAAAGCCTAAGGCCTCAATCAAGTTGCTGGGAAAAGTTTAAAGTCATAGTACTGTAGCAGTGCATTATAAATTCATTTTCCAGGAAGGCAGTACATATCAAGACTTTCACTATGCCATTTACAACTCTTATATTTCATCTACTTTATCCAAGGGCACTAAGATTAGACAGTTTCATGAGCATTTACCTCAAAACCTTTTCTTAAGCAGTATTTTATTGAAAAGCAATTTAACTATGATTAAAAGGAAGCAAAATTGATAGTATTACTAATTCTAACAATTTCAGTCCTGCTTATTAACAATTCCTCTGAGGAAGTAATAAAGCTCCAAATATTCAAACTACAGCCAAGTAGTAATGAGTTTCAATGGACTGCACTGAGATGAACGGGCCACAAACTTCACCACAGATTAGAATTACATTGCATGACTTGTTAGTATACAGATTGTCAGGCCTCATCCTGCAGGTTCTGATTTAGCAGATCTTGGCAGAGTCTAATGATCTGAATTTCTAGTATGATTACAGGCAATGAATATGCTACTGTCCTCGATCCATGTTTAAAAATCAATACTCTAGATGCTTACACCCTAGGAAAGATTTATTCATGATAAAGGGGTACATATTTACAAGAGTCGATGAACTTAACATAGAGCTGGGGATGTAGCTCAATGGCAGAGCACTTTCCTAGTATGTACAGGATTCACTGATGCTTAACACTACCAAAAAGAAGAAAAAAAAGGAACTTAGTGTAATCACTACATTGTGTACTCCTCAACAGTAGCTATTATCACAGTAAATCATATTTGCTTTTAGAATTTAAAAAAGCAGGACTAGGAAGGTGGCTTAGTGGTAGAGTGCTTTGCTTGCATGCATGAGGCCCTGGGTTCGATTCTTCAAGCACCACATACACAGAAAAAACCAGAAGTGGCGCTGTGGCTCAAGTGGTAGAGCGCTAGCCTTGAGCTGAAGAGCTCAGGGACAGTGCCCAGGCCCAAAGTTCAGGCCCCATAACCAGCAAAAAAAAAAAGGGAGAGAATTTAAAAAAGCAAGCTAACGTGTCTATACACAATACATTTTATAAATCCTTTGTTTTCCTACACTCTCACTCTCTCATTACAGACAAAACATCAGTTCCACTTATAAAGACTGATTTTAAAATGAAAAAATAAAAAACAAACTATTACCATATAAAGAAATATGCACTGAGGAATT